GGCAACAGGGCAGTCAAGGGGAATAACTTGCAAATCCCAGACTTCTAAGGCCTTTTGCAAAACCTATGAACAAGAATTTCAGAACAGTTAAATTAGAACTATGCTTTAAGTGTTACAAGTGAGTCGGCTTCAATATAAATCAGAAAGGGGTAATGAGAGAGAAGGAAAGCTCAAGTAACAGCAATGAGATAACCTGAACTGTTTTCTATGTGCCAAATCATGGCCATCCTACATGTAATAGTACTGAATGGATACTCATGTTTGAGCATGCATGAATGGCCATTGAAGTCAAGCTTTCAACTTCCTAGAGCATTGATTTCAAATAAGAAGCTAATAGAATTTAATCTTGCCAATGCTATTCTCAATATATTTGAGAACGGCTTGCAAGTCCTAACACTTAGTATATATACTCATGTATCATGAAGCACATAAAAGGCCCATGCAGCGGCAAAATTTGGCCTAAGCAACTGCATTCTTTTGCTTAATCTAACAATAAGTATGTAACTGATATACGCCATTTTATGTAAGATCCAACTCTAGATAGCTAGACACCAATAATCACCTAATATTGAAGACACCAGAGAGCAAAACTATCATAAAGAGGTCACAAGATGAATGGCCACCTAAGTATATAACTGATATACGGCATTTTGGGAGGATTTGACATGACGCTTTCCAGTAAACTACAAAGAACAAACTACAAAGTATTCTACACTCTGCAGCAATAAGCAGGATTGTTTAAAATGCAATTTCAAGTAAATCACAAACTATACCACAAGACTTGTACTCTCCACACATGGGCAAGTAATGGCGTAAGGGAAAGTAGGCTAATATGATATGGTTCAAACATATTAAGTCAAATTGATTCACTCTGCAGTGAAAATGCAATAAAGATACAAATTCATTCCAAGTGAAACAATAGCAGTACCATAAAATTGCAACATATTACCAATTACATTGAAGTGCTTGTTTGACTGACAGACAATTAGCTTCAACAATAAAAAACAAAGGCCAGAGGCAGAGGCAGTTCTGCTGCTAACCCTTTAAATTTGAAGTTAATAGAAGTAAAACCTCAATATGACAGCAAATTACCAACTTGATGGTGAAATGTCACAAACAAACTGATTGAAACATTCAAAACAACCTTGTCTTAATTGAATGTTTTGTTGCTTAACTTAAATTCGATTATTAAAACTTCTAAAGAACTAAATTTTCAACTCTAATTGATAGTATTTGGCAAAAAGTTCAATTCTTTTAATCATAAACATAAGAAAAATGAGTACACAGCAGCCAAAATTTCCAATTCATTTCTTCCTCCATCTTTCCACATTATCAGCAACTACAAGTAACGCAATTTAAGCAAAAAGAACCAATTTTCGACACTGAATTCTCTAGCTTTACCTTAATTCTACCATCAAAATTAGGGCAAGAAGAGCAAGGGAAAACGGGATAGAGAAAAGAGGGAACCTGAATGCTAAAATCGCCGCCGAGGGAGACATTGTGAGATTCCTCGGAGAGGAAGTCACCGGCGGAAGATGCCGCAGCGGCGGCGGCGGCGGCGGTGCCTTGAAGCATCATCTGGCGCTCCTTGGAGTCGAGATCGGAAGCCAAAGCCGCTAAATCGAATTCAGAGAAGAAAGGTCCTTGCAACACCGTGTTGACGCAATGGACAGCGCATAGCTTCGACTCTTGTACCTCGTGGTACAACATCCCTCCATTGCTCGGTCCCTCCATCGCTTCAATCCACACTCAATTAACGAAAAAAAAATCCCTTACTTACTGATAAAATTTTTCTTTTTGTTTTAATTACCGAAACCTATGGCTTTTTCGGCTTCGACGGAAGGAAGAAGAAGATGATGACGATGATGGTGACGACAAAATGAAAACCGTATATTAATAAAGAAGGGTATTAAGTATTTACTCATTAAAATTTATTCACTTGCCATTTTTAAAAATTGCTTACTTTTTTAATTTACTTGTGGGTTTTGTCTAGGCTTGGCTAAGCTTGAACGAAATGGGAAACTCGGCACGTGTAAGGGAACTCTTGCCAACTTAAGCACTTGGATTTTTTTATGGCATCGAGCAATTGACACATTATATCACATGCTTTAATAGTAGAAATTAAGTGAAATGAATTCAAATATCTATTAAAATACTGTCTCGGATTCGAGTTTTGTGATTAAAAAAAAGATGTCGAGAACACTTAGAAATTTCTCCAACTTAATCGAAATTCAATGTAATCACCGGCTACCGGTTGAATAAAAGTAATTGTAGCTGATATCGATCTAGAACAGTGCTATAATACTCAAAAAAAAATATAATAGAAGCTTCATGGTCACAGGCTAACTTATATTGATCAACCAAAAAAAAAAGAGTGCAAGGGTACATCTTCCATCAACTTATAAAGGTACAAAAATGTGTCTAGAACTTCCACTAGTAAAATGATATTGGGTAAAATTTTCAGTTCTTCAACCCATTCATTTGTAGCAGTAATCTCATACAAGAAGATCGTAATGGTTTCTGCCGCTGTAAACGAGTCTTACAACTTTCCTGGGTTTTCCTTTTCTCGAACCCTTACGGAACTCAGCTCCATATTCTGCAATGGGAATGAAACCTGAGCCCCATCCGCCCTTTCTATGCTGCAAAATGATCGGAAACACAGAATTGAAATATAATGATAAATCAATAAATTTTATGCAATTCACCAAGCTGAGACAAGAAAAGGTCAACTGCATGCACACACGATAAAAAGCACGTAGAGGCTAAGAGGCAGTTAGGCAAACGCATGCACAAATATAATGGTCAAAATTTTGAAGCCTGTGGATCCATCTTGCTCATTAATGAAAATTGAAACAAAGGATGTTGCATCTGGGGTATTGCTGGCTAAATGTAAAGGTCTTGTTTCCTACTAACCTACACCTGCGGCACTCGCTCATTATTGAAAACTAAAACAAGGAATGTTGCATTTGAGGTATTGGTAGCTAAAATTAAAGGGCTTTGTTTCCTACTAAGCTACAACTTGAGCAAACAATTCTTGTTCTTGTAAATATCACCAAATGAAGGACTGTATATGCAAGTTGTGAGTTAAACTAGGCAAACACACATAGCTCAATACAATTAAACAACAAAATAAAAGAGAAAGGGGGGTTGGGGAGGAACTAGTCTCAAACTGAAAACAAACATGTTATACCTCATGCTCGGGAATATAGACAATAATTGGCTGACTGCATAATCTTGAAAGCACCTGGCAGAGTTAAAGGCCATTAATCAGCATCTCTTGTTTAACCAACAAGTCACTATAACAGTTGGAAACAAGTGTGCAAAGAGATAAGACTCATGAGTAATTTGGCAGGCCTCTTTGAGAATTAAACAATATGCACACTATCAATTGAAGGCTTAAGTTAGCATTCCAGAATAGCAAGTTTCAGTATCTCCCACCGTAAAAATATAAAGCACAGACAGGCTCTTGCAAACATTCATCTTTTTTGGAACTAGTGTAAATGTGATTGATATAAGGTTTTTGCATAATTGAGGTAAAGAACTTTAGAAAGTTGCTAATGCAATCCCAACAAACACATACACTACCATTGAAGATTATGTTTAAAGAGACCGAATCTTATAAATGTAACACTAACCAGGAGTTCCGACTCTCCACCCCAAAAATCAGGTCGTTGAATTCGTTGGCAGTAACTGCAGAACATTGATTATCATCACAAGGATATGTCAAAATCAATAAACAAAAGAGCTTCCATGACTCAGAAATCAGCAATGAGTTAAGATTCAAACCGTTTCAAAGACTCTTCAACTGTAATCGCAACCAAAGCCTCTTCATACTGCTGCCGTTCTTTACTACTATCACATAAAACCTCCTTCACAGCCAATCTTAAATCATCTGCATTGCTATTAGTCTGTTAACAAACAATCCATATTTTGAAGCAATATGAACTAAACAACTTTCTAATCTCTACAAACAAATAAAAGGTGTAATCGAGCTAAATTTGATAGATTTCCCTAAATAAGGAATGAAGGAAAGATGGAATGGGCAAAATTCAGCTATGGTGAATGAACAAAAGGAAAATCACCTCACCTGCGTCATCTCTTTCTTCTCGAGGGCTTAATGCAACACCCTTGTTAAAAGCCATCCCTTTAACCTGATTCTCATTAATTAGAATTAGTTAGGAGCAATAAGAATTTACATTAGACTTTCTAATTCTTTCATTAATCATAGCTGTTAAACCAAATATGAAGAACAAGAAAACTAAAATTTCTGGCACCATAGTGGAAGTTCAAAACAATTTATTATAATTTGTGCTTCTTCTATTCATTCATCTCGCTATTGCCAAAAAGAAATTAAATTCGACTTCAAAGAACAACAAAGATCAGAATGTTACCACTTACCAGTGCTCGAAACAAGCAGCGGCCGTCGCCAGTAACTTTGTGAACTGAAAAATGCTCAGCCTTTTTCGTCGCCGGCGACCCGCCGCCTCTGCATTGAGATAAACATGAGAATATAAAAGTCAAAGACCGGTATTGGGTTTAAGGCAGGTAGGGAACGATTTATGGGAGAAAAAAAATAAGAGCTTTACAGAGATGGTCCAATTCTAGCGAAGAATCGACTGGTGTTGTCTCCTGGGAAAGCGGTGGATAATGTCTGAGAGACGCTCGGAGTTGAAATGGAAGAAACAGGGGAGGAAACAAGCTCGAATTTTGCAATTCCATGTCTGATTTGTTCCAGAATGTTCTCTGCACCAAACAAAAAAGTAACTTGTCTAAGAATTTACACAAAAAACAATAAACAAATTCATGGATTCTGAATTGATGAGTTAGGTTACCGTTACAAAGCTTGTCGGCCATCAGACATCGACCATAAAGACGGAAGACACTGATGAAGTGTATTTGCAGAGCACTGGATAAGAGTGCTGCTGGCGGCGGTCACTTACTCACTGCTCAGTCTTGTTCTATTTAAGGTTTGAATTTATTAAGCAGCACGAAATAAAAATTCTGTTGTAGTCTAGTTGATTAGGATACTCGTCTCTCACGTGAGAGACCCGGTTTCGAGTCTTGTCTCCAAAATTTTAATCTTAAAAGGTGTTTTTTATCTTTTCTTGAAAGTTTTACTCAAACTTTAATTGGCTTTCCAATTGCAACCAACTTATCTTCACTCGTGCTAAAAGAATCAGTTGATGATTTATTTGTTTTTTACCACAGGTTAAAGCAAGAAATCTTAGTCAGTTGGAAGCCACCATCCGATGCTTTTGTGAAAGTTAACATAGATGGAAGTGCTAAACGCAATCCAAGTTTAGCAGCTGTTGAAGGATTCGTGAGAGATCGGGATAGGCCGTGGTTGGAAGGTTTCACTTGTCGTATCGGCTACTCTTCCATCATGGTGGCTGCAGCTTTGGGGCATTTACCATGGTCTCTTGTTATGTTGGGATAAAGGATACAAACAAGGATGGACTGTGACTGGAAGGTTTCACTTGTCACGTCGGCTACTCTTCCATCATGGTGGCTGATCTTTGGGGCATTTACCATGGTCTCTTATTATGTTGGAATAAAGGATACAAACAAGTAGAGCTCGAGACTGATTATTCCTCGGAAGTTTCCAAGATTGAACATCTTAATGCTCCACCCAGGCCTCTTTCAAAACTATTGGATGCAATAAAGAAATTCCTTGCTGGAGTCAATGCCTATGCAGACTGGGATGCCCACACATTTCGACCACTTAGAACTGGGTTTGCTCACATTTGATGCTCCATCACATGAGATTTCATTGCTTCTCTAAATCGATGCCATGAGATTAATCTGGTCTAAAGCCATTTAAATAGTCTTGTGATGTTTTCATTCATTTTTTATATATAAAAAAAGGATGAACAACTAGTCAAAGACTAATAATATTTTAATTAATACACTCAAATCTACTGATCACCTAACCTAACAAATACACTTGACACTTTCCAAACAATAAGTTGTCCTCTTTAACTTTCCATTTCCATTCCCAATCATTCGGAGTATGTGACATATACCAATTAAAAAAAAAAAGAAAAAGAAAAAATAGTGGTCCGGACTCCGGAGGCGAGCCCAAGGAGAGGAATCATCGAACTAATCGAATCGAATTGAGCCAGTCCAGCCCACTTACAACATTCGCACGTGCAAGAATCGGGAGACACGTGCTGGATATATATGAGGGTAAAAGGAGAAAAATAGCAGGACCAAATCGCCCCTAATCCTTCAACGGCCAAACCGAAAAATGCTGGCTCTTTAAAAAAAAAACACAGCTCACTTGTCTCTCTTTCTTTCGCTCTCTAAGTCTAACATAAGAAGCATCGACATCTTTTTTTTTTTTTTTTTTTTTAAATAAAATAAAATTAGTGAAAAACCAAACAAGGCCTTGGAATTGACGATCTCCACGAAGCGCTCTCTCTCTATTTCTCTCATTTCATCGCTTTTCCTTAAGAAATTATATAAATCGTCTCATTTCTCTTCTCCGCCCTTTCAACTCTTTTCTCTCGCCTCTTATCTCTCGGATCTTTCAAAGATCTCCGATTCTCTCCGCCTCATCCGTCATTCTTCCGCCGGTAAATCTTTCTCCGACTACTTTCAGCTGCTTTTTTTTTATAATGATTCTTTTGTGCATGCTGATAGTATTCATACATCGTGATTTTGTTCATTTTTGGGCTTTTTGAATTGTGTTCTGTTTGGTTGCCGAGAAAAATGGAGGGGAAGAAAAGAGGCTTCAAGTTTGTAGCTTTCTCAGTTGAAATGTGCTTTTTTCCAGCTGAAATATAGGTTACTGAAAATTTGATTGGGAGCTTCTTTATGGAAAATCAAAGATCAAAATGTTACTTTACTTTGTTTACTTGTAGGAAAGATAGAAAAAGGAACTTACTTTTTTAGTTCTTTTTTCTTCTTTTATTTGCTTACTTTTTCTTTTGTATCTTACTTAGCAAGATTGCTGTTTGAATTAGCTTAAGGAAGTTGGCTTTTTTGCTTTTTTAATTGTTGAATTTGGATATCTAACTGTTTGGATTCTGAAAGGTTTGGAGAAATCGAACTTTGGAGTGGAAGATGGCTTCAATATCGTACTCTCCAAATGGATTTACGGGAACTTCCGCTTCCGATCTTCTTCGGAGCTCCAGTAACGGCGTGAGTGGTATACCTCTTAAAACCCTAGTGAAGACACGATTTTCCATGCCTAGGAGGAATGTAACTATAGCTGCAAAGTTGAGGAAAGGGAGGAAGCATGAATACCCCTGGCCCGCTGATCCAGATCCAAATGTGAAAGGGGGAGTCCTAACTCATCTTTCCCCTTTCAAGCCTTTGAAAGAAAAGCCAAAGCCTGTTACTTTGGATTTTGAGAAGCCCCTTCTTGATTTAGAGAAGAAGATTATTGATGTAACTCCATATTTTTACTGATTGTTGATTTAGTTGATAATAATTTATTCATACTTGCTTCAAATGTTTTTTTCTCGAATGGCAGGTGAGGAGGATGGCAAATGAAACCGGTTTGGATTTCAGTGATCAGATTATATCCTTGGAGAATAAATATCAACAGGCATGGTTAATCATTTGTATTCTTCCTTAGGCAATCAAAGATTTTGTTGTCGAACTTGCTATGCATTCATGATTGTTTATTTAGAATTTGATTAGAGTACTTAAATTTAGTTTTGGATTCATTCACTTTCTGCAGAAAATGATGGATATGAAACAATTGCATTGTTTTTTATATTCTATAGTAGTAAACTTCGAAATGTCATGATTCTTCTTTATCTAGAAGCCTGTGTTGTAAGTCTGATTTACATTAGTATTGAAGCTTAATGAGGGCTGAGATTGAAATCTGAAGTCTTGGAAAAGGCTTATCATCGCCAAAATTATAACTTCCCATGAAATATTATTATGATAATTCTCTTTTCTTATGACATGATTATCAAATTTTAAGTGCACTAGAAGATTTTGATGTTCTGCCAAAGAATTTGACATATCATCAGGTTGATGGTTTTTCGGTTTTAATTCTTCTCACCCATTCTATTGTATATTTCAGGCTCTAAAGGATTTGTACACACATCTGACCCCTATACAACGTGTAAACATTGCACGGCACCCCAACAGACCTACATTCCTTGATCATGTGTTTAACATTACAGATAAGGTTTGGTGGTTATTGGCCCTTCAACTTCTAGATATTAAATATTTGAATATTCTCTTCAACTTTCAGATACTAAATATTGTAAATTCTCATCAAAATTATCTTTACCTTCAACTTGGATGCCAAAGAATTGGCTTAATGATCTTTTCTATATTTTCATATGTTCAGTTTGTGGAACTTCATGGAGATAGAGCAGGGTATGATGATCCAGCTGTTGTTACTGGTATAGGAACCATAGATGGTAGGAGGTACATGTTTATGGGTCATCAAAAGGGTAGAAATACTAAAGAGAATATTAAGCGTAACTTTGGAATGCCAACTCCCCATGGGTAAGTTGAATGGAACTTACATAATTCTGGCGACTTTGAATTTTAGTTTTATTCGGAAAAAAGATTTCAGCTATGTCACCCATGACGAATTTCTGTATTACATACAGTTATAGGAAGGCTCTACGCATGATGCGTTATGCAGATCACCATGGATTCCCTATAGTTACTTTTATTGACACTCCTGGGGCATATGCAGACCTTAGATGTGAGGAGCTGGGTCAAGTATGAGCCTTTTTCCTGCTCTTGAAGCCTGCCAAATTTACTTGTATTGTTGTCAACTCATTTGTATTCATAACATTCATGTAGGGTGAAGCTATTGCCCATAATTTGAGGACCATGTTTGGTCTGAAGGTCCCAATTATTTCAATTGTTATTGGGGAAGGTGGATCTGGTGGAGCCTTGGCAATTGGTTGTGGTAATAAGTTGTTGATGCTGGAAAATGCCGTCTTTTATGTTGCCAGGTGATATGAGTTTTCAGTACTGTCTTTCTTTAATACTAACTAGCTACTTACTATCTGGCCTTTGAAGCCCAAATACTGGTGAAATTGTTACTTGATAAATTTTTTGTTTTTCTTCTTCGTATTTAGGGAAGCTTTTTTATTGCACCTTGTATATTCAGATCCTTTTTATGTGCCTTTTCTACATGTTCTGATATTTCCTTTTCTTTGGTTTGATTGTTGTAATGGTGTAGTCCGGAAGCATGTGCTGCTATTTTGTGGAAGAGTGCCAAAGCTGCTCCAATGGTTTGAAAACAATCATCACTTCTAGGCTTATCTTTAAGCACTGTTTTATTTGGTGATAGAACATTTAAAGTTTTCATCTATGCAGGCAGCCGAGAAGCTGAGGATTACTGCCACAGAGTTGAGCAGGCTACAAATCTGTGATGGAATCATTCCTGTAATTACACCATTCCCTCTTATATCTTAAGTGAAATAGTTTTCTTTTTTCTTCTGCCGTTTTCCTTTTTTCCTGTTTTGTTTCTCCTTAGTTCTAGCATTACAAAAGCCGTGATAACTTGAACCTGCTAGAAGCAATTTGATGTAGCAATAGTGTACTGCTTCACCATATAAAAGTCTGGTTCGAAGATTTTTTATCCGTGTTTGATGTTTGATGAGAATGATGTATATGGTTTTCGAGTTAATCTACAAGGCATCTTAGACTTTTTTTTTTCCCTTTCTTTCCCAAACATTTGATAGGAACCACTGGGCGGTGCCCATGCAGATCCAGCTTGGACTTCACAACAAATAAAAGCAGCAATTAACAAAGCAATGGATGTGAGTTTAACTACCGGTACTTCTTCATGAAGAATCATACTGCAATAAATTGACAAAATTGATTTTGCAGGAGCTCACAGGAATGGACATAGAAGCGCTACTACAGCATCGCCATCATAAGTTCAGGAAACTGGGTGGGTTCCAAGAAGGTATACGTGTAGGTCCCAAGAAAACGGTCAATATGAAAAAAAGAGAGGATAAATTTGTTCGTGAGAGAGAAGATAAAACTGTTCGTAGAACCTCAAATGCAGAGTTGGAGGGTGGGGCTAAAAAACTGAAGCAGCAAAACTTGAAAGCCAAGGAATCATCCACCAAGCCTCCTGAGTT